GGACCCCAAAGCTGCAAGGCAAACATGCTAATTCATAAGCCACTGTCCTGTGAGAAATCTGTTTTGGTGGCTGTGAGAAACTAGCATAGGCAAAAATGCAACTAATTATGCAGAGAAATATTACTTTGTGAAATGTGGAAATAATTTCCCGAATTCTCAAGCCAGTTTTGTTTTTATTATGTTTGGCATTATGCCTTACTGTATACAGTTTTCTTAAGCAATTTTTTTTAGTGAATCTGTTGCAAAGGTTCTAGCCTGAAGAGTCTGCCAGTAACAGCACTTCCTGTAGCAGGCTGACAACACTAAACCATTGCCTTGCAATTAGCAGCAGTTTTGCCAGGCTGTCGCGGTCATTTCTTAAGTTGGCCAGTGGGGTACCTATGTAATAGACCTGATGGCAGCCCAGTGGCCAATTGAAGGAGCACACATGGCACACTGGCAACTCTGCTGCTAATTGAGAGGCAGTGGCTTAATGAAAATGCTGAGACTGGCAATATCTTGAGGTAAGAATCTTTAAAAAAGAGTCGCAGAAATTGATTATTTTTAAAGGAAACCGTATACAGTGAAGTACAATATCTAACATACTTAAGATAGCATTTTTGGGGGTTTACATACACATTAAAAAGTGGATTCTAGAATGTCCTGGTCTCAGGCAGCCTGGGCAGCATTCCAGATACATCTTTGAAAGTGTATGTAATCAGCCTTCCTCCTCTTTAGCATTATATGAAACAGTCTTTTAAACCCCTGCATCCCCTGATCCCTCTGGTTCAAATTGTTTATGATGTTTTATGCTTCTGTAAGTAGTAAATTATAAAGTTGTTAGTTATTATGTCTAAAGAAACAGAAATGTTTATTACCAGGCACCTTGATTGTATTGTAATGCTGAGTCTCTGTACAGTTGCCAGTTCTGCCCCTTTTCCAATTTTTTATAATTACAGTGGTACCTGGGTTCACAAACGCTTCTGTTCACGAACAATTCGGTTCGCGAACAGGAAGTTCGGCAAAATGTTGCTTCCGTTCGCGAACTCCGCATCGGGTGACGAACACAACCGCAGCCATCTTCCCTGCTCTGGCACATGGTTGTGGCTTTCTCTAGTCGAGATCACTGTCTGATCACAGTTTGATTCAGTTCGTGACCAATTCAGTTTGCGACCAGAATCGTAAGTTCGTGAACCAAGGTTGCCTAAAATGAAATTGTCTCTGACTGGCCACCAACAGTGGCCAGTACAATGGGCTGGCATGCCATGGGTGGAAAGTCTGTTGCTATGTAATTACATCCTTAAAACACATACCATTGTACTACATGTACCAAACCATTGCAGCTTTGTAGCTACTGTGACACTAGGCGCTCTCCCTCCCTTATCTACTGAAGACTCCACAACCTAAAAATACACATTTAATTGTCAGCATTGTACAGTCTAGAACAGCCCTGATAGGCTTAAAGTGCATAACCTCCCACTCAGTCTGCTTTCTGCTGTGCAGAAGATTATGGATAATAATACAAAGATATGACAGTTATACAAGCAGTCAGAGAAGGCAATAAAGCCAAGCCTATTTAGTAAAGCATAACCCTATAGCTAGAATGTGGCACTTGAGTCAGGGTTCTCTAATCACGCAGGTGTTTTGGCTCATGACAAAATCCCTTTAATTGGCAAAAGGATAGATATCACATCATCCTTGCAAAATATGTACACATGCCGCCAGATCATTTTTGACATTCACAACCATGAGCTAATGAATTATGCTATTGAATTTTGATGGATTTATTTTTGTAATTGTCAATCATATTTATGTACAACAGCACTTTTACCATAGAGTTCTGAGTGAAAATACATCAGTATTTGTATACCTAATTAATATAAATAGTCTTCCTCCGAAGTTGTAACTCTAATCTTTCATTTCCCTTTGGACATAATGTGAATCTGTCATTTTCCCAGAGATAAAAAAAGGAAAATGCAAACAGATATTATAAGAGGCACCTATTAGAAGCACCGCCTTATGTTTGGAAGTTTGACCCTCTGTACATTCCTATTGCTCCATCACCATGATGGGTTGCCATTACTGGCCAACAGACTAAAAGCTACTGCAGGTTATGTTGTGCTTTACATCTGGCATATGGAATATGAAATGTTTCAGTGTGTTCATTGCAAGTAAAGAGTTGTAATTAAAGCCCAACTCCAGTCAAACAGCATTTCCCTACCATCCCTCCCCCCCACCCTCCTCTACCCTATCATGCTAGGTGTTTCTTTTTCTTACATGGTGAAGCAAATTTTAATCTCCTGAGCCTCTCACAGACACAATTTCTGACATTGGGGACAGCTTATCCAGTGCACCACAGTATCCTGTCCAGCCTGTCCCATTGACTCCCATCAGGCTGACATCAGTAGTTCTCTGGATCCTGAGAGGACACTCCTGGTGGACTGCCAATGGGAGTTGTCACACAGGCAGTGATGTGGTCACTCGAAAGAAGGACTCCAGCAGGAAGTAAACAGAGAGAAGAAGGCCCCAGCACTGGATAATCACATGACTGTGGCATAAGGTAAGTGAAAAAAAGGACTTAGAAAGTTTTTTTTTTTTCAGTCCAACGATCAGTGTGTATGTGTGTGGGTAGGGGATATGAGGGAGCAATAGAAGGGTTTTTTTTATTTTAACCTGCAGTTTGGCTTTCAGGTTGCTTCTGAGCTGAAAAAAAACTTTCTAAGCCCCCTTTTCACTTACCTTATGCCACAGCCCTGTGATTATCCAGAGCTGGGGCCTTCTCCTCTCTGTTTACTTTCTGCTGAGGTCCTTCTTCCGGGTTGTCATCTTTTAGGGTAAATACTGGCTTTATGATCTTCTTTTTATCAATAATATTAATCAAATTCCCTTTTTGTTACCAGCCAGGCCACTAAAATAATGACTAGGTGCTTCCCAAGCCTTTAGGTACATCAAAAGGAACCCACGTACTGTAGCATATTGTTTGTTTTCTGTCACATCATTATATATCTGATATTAGAGGATACTCCAAGTGTTAGGTTCTTTGTTGAATATTAATATATTAGGGGGGTGATAATATTGTCTGATGTTTGAAGAGATAAATAATAATTAACAATTACTTTTCAAGCTGAATAAAGAGCAGTGCCATTTAATATCTGAATGCATTATGTATCCATGACAGAAAGCATTTTTCCGAGTGCAGATGACTCTTGTTTCGGTGTAATTTATGAACAGATGACATTGTACAAATAATATACACAGAACCGTGTTTACATCATTTCAACTTCTGCCCTACATAAATCACACTTTCAAATGTTTCATTTGCTTTGGCAATTTTGTATGTTAACCTATTGCAGCTACTTCAACTGTTCTGCATTTCCCTTTAGGTCTCCTGTGCTCTTTGGCAGGGTGCCCAAATAACAATCTTATGTTTCATGATGCCCCAGTGGCTCCTACATTTAAGAATATAGAGAGCATGCCAACACAGATGCATCTTGACACACATATCATCTCAGCAGAAAAGCAATTTTTTCAGACATGTCTTTTCTTTTTTTATGTGTGCTATCTCTAGCATTATTGGAGACAAGTTAGATGTGGCACTCAGTCTTTATCGCAGTTTTAAGAAATTGTCATTTTCATCATTATTGGTAATGTGGTAAAGGAAGGTTCACATAATACATCAGGGCCCCTCCATCATGACATCATGATAAATTGTGACATAAAAGTGCAGGGAACATAAATATTAAATATGAATATATACTTGCCCTACTTTCTCTTCCTATTGGAGCATGTTCTTATGAGATATGGGATATTCAGGATTCCCTGGGATCATGTTGGAGAGATTACCCTTCTCTGTGCAGAAGGCAGGTTGAGATAAGTGTTTTTCCTAACTTTAACAGCTGCTGGCATAGCACCACTTACTGTGATTTTATTAATAAAGTATACTTACTGTAATTTTATTAATAAAGTATACTTCCTTGTATCTCTATCTTCTTCTTTAATGTATTATTGTGGAGGAATGGTTGCATTGATTTTAAAAAGGATGATCTGTCTCAAGGATTTGGGATATATTCCTTACTGGGGGAAAAAATTCTATTGGACCTTTTATGAGAGTAAGAGCTCATTTATATTGTCCCTATTAAGGCAAACATCCCTATTAAGGGAGGCACAGAGAATAGTGAAAAAGAACACTCCGAGGTCTTTTAGTATGGGCTGAAATGTGCAAAGAAGCTGCATGGTTGCTTACTTGTTAATGGAAAACTCCCACGTTGCACTTTATTGTACTTTTCATTCATTCTATTTTATTTTGGGTTGCACATTGTATTTTATATGATACATTATGATATACATGAAATAATAATAATGTTGGTTGTTTATTTGCATTAGTTCATATATATATCTATATATATCTATATATTTTATAGATATATATAGATATATATCTATATATCTATATATATCTATATATATGCACAGAATATGGATTCCACATATTTAGATATTAGGGTTATAATCACAGAGTTATATTCATTCATATCACTTATGTGGTGTTTTATTGAGTTAAGACTTTAAGTAGAAAAAAAATTATAGTTAAATCTGAGGCACATACGAAATTTTAAATATAATTGCCTGTCATCAGATGTCTAAATGTATATCCCAGGCAGTTTATTTGTCACAGGATCTTCTAGTCCCCTGATGTTGCTTTTAGATTGTAGGTATACTAAGGGTCATTCTGAGTCAATCAAAAACAGTAATCAACACTTATGTCTAGCATTGCTTTTAGAGCATTTTGGTTCATAAGTCTAAACAGCATAAACATTTATTTTATCTGATTTCATCAAATACCGGTGGGGCAAGATTAGCACATGTTGTTCTGTGTTTATTGAACTTCCATTATTGCTGGGCACTAAAGCAGGTGCTTGGATAGCTTTGTATAGAGGTATGCTCTTTCCAGTCATTAAACAACATTGGTAAAGTGACATTAAGGCCTCTTAAGGTAATTATCTTTGCTTTTCTTTTTTTAGCAACTCAGTGTAAACACGGAGCTGTATACGACACCTGCGGTCCAGGATGCCTGAAGACTTGTGAAAACTGGAATGAAATTGGTCCATGCAGCAGGCCGTGTGTGGCTGGATGTCATTGCCCTGCTAATTTAGTACTTTACAAAGGAAAATGTATCAAGCCAGCACTCTGTCCACAGCGGTGACATAAATCTTTCATCAAGGACTTTTAAAGCTGGTAGTTTTTATTTTTAAAAGCTCTCAGCCAATGAAGGACTCTACTGTTGAACTCAGAACTCGTAAAAATGAATATGTGCTGACACATTCACACACATGGATGCAAGCAACTAATATAAATATGATATAAATATAAATACAAAATTATACATCACTTATATAAGCAAAGACAAAATATTATATGTATATTTTTTGCTATAAGGTTTATGTATTATTTTTTAGGATTTTATCCTTTAAACTATTTGAATAATTGTATAAATAAAACAGATGTTTCTAATTTAATATGGTGGCATCCGAAATGTACTGGTTAGCATTACCATAGCTTGAGCTCTATGTTTTTACAAAGAATTTTTGTAGCAAAAGAACATTTCAGAATATTTTAACATTCAGAATGAATTTCCTGTTGAACTTGAAGCATACATCTCTGAAAATAGAAGGATTATGCAGAACTTGATTGTATATTACGAGGGGAATTTTTGTTCATTATAACTCACTGCTGACAGGTTGTAGAACATAGGATCAAAGGAACTTTTTTTGTCTTCAGACAAAGAAACCTATTATACGGAGATATACTATTTATAATACTTGGACCCACGTTTTGAACTAGAATTGGTAGTACTGCATATCTGCCAGTTTGTGCTCTGCAGTGGCTCTATCAGTTCTGGTGGCTCTGAAGTTCTGCTCCAGGCTTGTTGTAGACTCTGAGCAAATCCCTCAGCTCCAGCTTCAGGCAGCTTTAGAAACCTCACCTCAAGAGCTACATCAGACATTATTGCTTAAAGAAACACTGTTACCATGCCATTCAGGGTAAAGTGACAGTGTCTGTGCAAAGCATTCCTGCAACCATCTGCTGATACCTCTCCAGTGATGCGCTGATGTTCCATCCGCTGTCAACGCCACCACCAAAATATCCAATGTCTGCTGGTGTTTGAGCCTAGAGGGAGTGGTGACATAACCCTTTTGAGCAAGCTACAGTGCCTTGACCCATCAGTTGGCTGCAAAGCCTGACCGCTGCATCATGGGATGAAGCTATGTGCTCCCCCATTCCAGGAAGCAATGGGTATTTTAAGCCAGCTGTGACTGAGGAAGGAGCTGCTGGGGAGCATTGGAGAGGTGAGTATTAGTTGTTATGAGTGCAGCTGCCATGGTGCCATGAGTGACAGTGTGTCTTTAAGAGCAGCTGTTCTCTGATGCAGTAACATCAGTATACTTCTCTTGATTTTGTTCTTGCTTTGCCTAGATCATTTTGCCTAATAGTGCTAATTAAACCTTTACATGAGTAGGGGAACTTGTGTAGTTTTTAATTACAGAAATTGTTAACTTATTGTGAGGCTTCCTTTTGTTAAGCAGACATAGAAGTGTTTAACATATGCAATCTGTCAAAACCTTCAGGAGCAATTAACAATGGTCTGTCTTGGTGCGTGGCATTAATGTATAAATGTTAATATGCATTTTGTTGTGTGTTAACATGCGTTACATTAAGACATTCTATTTATTTAAATGGACTGATAATGCAACAAAATAACCCAAAAAACAGACATGTACCATTTTTTCTTATGATGCAGAGCACCACAACATATGGTAGTATGTTAGTTGTGGTGCCCTGTAATACATGTGCAATGGAAAGACTTTGAGTTAGTGATTGGGATGCTATTGAAAATAAATAGCATCACATTGCGCCAATGGATGTTACTACAAATCATTGCACTGGCAAAGTGTGATTAGTGCATTATAGTGTCATTCATTTTCAATGACACATTAATGCACTAACCTATCACACATCTAACATACATGTGCTGCAATGCACAACAATACATGCTAATGCATTACTGTGCATTATGGTGTGATGCAAAAGAAAACATGGTGCATGCCTAATTTTATACCTGTTTCAGAGCATTGCCATCTAATTCAAATAAATGAGGTTGTCTTAATGTAACGCATGTTAACACACGGCAAAACACACCCATATGCCATGCATAGACACAGGTCAGTGAATGGGCCCTAAAGCCGTGTATACATGCTTCGAATTTTGGCTGGTTCTCGAGGAACTGGCGAAATTCGATGCGTGGGTGCCACTGTCGGCACCATTTCCAACTGACTGATCGAAGGAGCAGGTTGTCAACCAAACAGCAAGTTAACTGCATGTTTGGGTATTCTGACAGCAGCCACCGGGTATTCTGACAGCAGGAGATTCCTCCATCAACGCTCATATTCTATTCTATTTTCTTCTTTCACCTGGCAGGTTGAACGAAGGAAATAGAATCGTGTACACCTGACTTAATGCACTTTCTAGAAACTGTATTAGATTAGTGTTGTAATCTTTGTTGAATAAGCAATACGAAACAGGGGCAATAATAAGCTTAAGGAGACTGGTTTACAATAGCTAAGGAGAGGAGACTGGTTTACAATCATAGCTCAAGTCCTAATGTCTTCCCTCTTCTGCTCAAAAGTTGCACTGTACCAGTACAGAGCATGCACTTGACCAATTCTTGGGTGTATGTTTGTCATAAGTACTGTGATAAATAGTGTAAATGTTTCCAAAACTCTCATAGTGCCTGTCTAGGATTGGAGGTGCAGGGGTTATAAACACACACAAACACTGTCAGAAGTCTTTAACTAAATAAGAGCCTGATTGGCACCAGATGGGTGCCTGATTTTTATTGTCATGTCTATGATAAATCCTGCTTACTGTTTATTTATCTGAATCTGGGAACGTTTTAAAGCAAATAGTAATTTTACATAAGCTACTGGGAAAAAGGTAGTGAAAGCGTTGCCTTTTTATGTGTTCATATAATTCTGTACCTTGTTTGCAGTAAATGTTTTTAACTGTGGCCAGTTATATGGGTACTATTTATTTGTTATGGGAAATCCTCACTGATTAAAATGTACAGCCTACCATTATTGACCTCTGCTTATAAAAATGCTATCTGCCTAGCTGTTCTAATGTCTTCAATACTTTGAGTCGCTGTCCTGGGACGTGAAAAGGGCTCTAAACCTAAATTGATAATGATACATGCAACACGTTTTCTATCAAGAGCAGTATGTGTGTTTGTATGTATATATACACCTTTAAGCACTTTATTAGGAACAATGCAGTATATTAAACTATGGCCATAAAGGGACTTCGGAATCTGGAAGCCCCCTTTAGGATAAGGTATCCCCAGATATCTGGCTCTCCTCCCAACATGAACAAGTAAGGGGTACATAGTACCCCTTGTTACTGATTCACAAAAAATCCACAGGGCTGGATATCTGGAAGCCCCTTATCTTAAAGTCTCACAACTCAGACCCCCACATTGACTGAGCCAAAGATGTGGGGTTGAGGCTCTTGTGCCCATCAACATGGGGACAAAGGTGCTTTGCTAGGAAGGGGCCCCCAGGCAAGTTATCCTTCCAATGCTGAAGGTATACAACCTGGCATGATTCAGGAGGTAGTGCTAGCCAGACTGCATGCCTGGATAAGGATCTTGTATAGATTTTGGGAGGGGGGGTCCGATGCAATTTTTTTACACACACAATTAAGTTGGTTTGGAAAAAGTGTTTTTCTTTATTCTAAATACTTTATGTTTAAGGCATCCCCCATGCATATTATTTATATGATTTGTGTATTTTTAATGTTGCCCTTTATGCTGCCTTTAAAAAAAAAAAAAACTGGTCTCCAATTTTTTTCATTAGTCCCTCATGGCAATGCCTAGCTACCCATGCTCTTTTTAAACAAAATATTGCAAAGTGGCCTTTTAAAAAGCCCCTCCCCCCAAATACTAAGATTAGTTTCACAAAGACTTTAATGGTTCACACGCTATGTACTGGGTCCATGGTTTTCCAGTCCAATCCAGTGAATGGTTATTTGCTCAGTTCGCTCATCACTAATCAAGATCAAGACCTGTTTGTGTTTCAGTCTTCTTGTTAATAAATATATGTTTTTTGCCTTTTCTTGTCATATTCCATTAGATTACATCTGAATATTGGTTTTGAGCATTCACCCGAATTGATCTCCCATATGAAAACTTGCAGGAAAGGAATTCTGTCATAGTAATTATTCTGATACATTTAGATCATACAGAACACAGCCACATGGGAAATTTTACTATCTTCATATTTACTTATTTACAGTCAATTCAATGACATATCTTTAAATAGAGGTGTTATAAGGTTATGTTGTCCATTATAAATCCCATCAAGAAAATACAAAATATTATCCTAGCAAGTCACACATTGTTATTGAAATACATTTGTTTTCCTTCTACAAAATGTATTTCTTATTGTTGTATTATATTAAATATATATTGAAATAAATTAAAGTAGTGTTGAGAGGAGCAGATGAAAAATATATTTTACGGGTGTGAGCTCCAGAACATGGTTGAATTTTGATATCTGCTATGCTACAACATTGGTGCTTACAATATACTGTTTAAAATGCTGGCCTGGTAACTTCTTACATAATGTGTCATATTGTGAGTATTGCAGAAATCAACAAAGAGGCTTGTTTAGGAATTCATTCATTTGAAGTATAAGTCACTGTCTTAATATTGATGGAAAATGAGCATAAAAATCTAAAAAAAAAGAACTAAGCCGCAATATAATTTATCTGATAATGTTGTCTCAAGGCATTTTCCTTCTGACCAGAGTTGAACTTCAGCCAAGAAAAAGAAGATGCAACTGAATAGATAATTATAGGATAAAAGCAAGACCAGATTGTACTGTAATATGTACCTTCAAACCGGCGATTTTCTCCATGGTACATTTTTCTGCCACCAGATGTCCTCACTCTGATGGTCAGCATCCAATAACACTTCCTCTGAGTCCAAGTTGTCCTGAATCAACCCCAGCCTATGACTGGACAGTGAAAGGGAAGCGGCATAATGACAAGCTTATTTTTTGTCACTCTGCTTTCTCTTGCTATCAGCATGCATCCTGTCAGCACTTGAACTGATTGGCTTTTTGTGGTGCTTCTTCTTCCTACACTACATCCCTGCTGTATAGTGCTTGCAAGAGGCAGATACCAAGATTCATTTACCCGCTTTTAATAAGAAATAGAACTCTATTAATAGACGCTTTCACACAAGAAACTTTCCCCAGGATTCACACATTTTCCTAATTTCATCCAATTAGAAAAATGTGTGACCCTTGTGTAAATCCTGTGTGAAAAATGTATAAATAAACCCACAGTGTTATTGCATTGGACTC